GTGCTCCAGCAGCCATGTCTGGGGGCAGCCTGGCAAGAGCCCTTGGGTAATCCTAAAGCTCACCAAAATTTCACAAGAATTCATTATTTTACTCTCTATACTGTTGTGCCTATTTGGAAATGTAAAAAAAAAAGTGCAGAGCAAGCCCACTCGACTGATTCCAGCCCCATCAATCCCGGTGCCTAGCCCTCCTCCAGACCAGTCTGAGTCTTTGGGAGTGGATCCTAGACTTCACACGTTTTTTTAAACCCTTGGGTGATTGTAATGTGGAACCCAGAAAAAGAACTGCATTCTTTTTGTTTGTTTGTTTTTGTTTTGTTTTGTTTTGTTTTGCAGTTTTTGGCCGGGGCTAGGTTTGAACCCGCCACCTCCGGTATATGGGGCCAGCACCTTACTCCTTGAGCCACAAGCACAGCCCAAGAACTGCATTCTTGCACAGTGCTGTGAAAGGCAGGTTGTGCCCGTTAGTGACTGGTGAAATGAATTTGGAAGGCCATGGCCTGCATTTTTTAAATTTTATAATTAACATTTTCAAACATACAGAAAAAACAGAGAATAGTATTACAGATCTCATGTGCCCTTGCTCAGCTTCAATAGTTACATTTTGCCTGTCTATTCTGTGCCCTTATATTTCCCTTTTCTTGGCTGAAATGTTTTAAGCAAATCCCAGGCAATAAGCACTTCAGTTTCTATCTCTAAATTTAAAGGACCCTGATTGAAATACATGTATATATTATATGTATATTTCCATTTGTCTATTAAAATTTAATAATCATTTCTTACTGACATCTAACACCCAATCCATATTCAAATTTTAACCTGCATTTTTTTTAAAGTTAAAGAGAATAGATTAGAACATCATAAACAGAAAATATCAGAGTGCATTTCCTGTAGTAATGGTAAGTGCAGTTTTTGACATCATTTCTATAGGTATCACTACATATTGTGTAATCACGATGTGAAATATCTTTATGTGGACTGTTGACTGGAGAGACAACAAGGTTCATAATTTGAAAGGAGAGCCTTATTTCTCATAAAGGGTTGCAGCTTGTGGTTGGCTGGAGAGTGGAGCCCCAGCCAGATGCCAGGAACACATGCTTCAAGGCAGGGACAATGGGAAGAGGAATTTATACTGAACAGAATGGGCCAAATATACATATTTAACAAGCTATAGAAGGAGTCATGAAGATTTAAGAAAAGAGAAACATGCACCTATGCCTTTGAGCTTTCTGCCCTTTCATGGGGTCCATGTTCAGAAATGGTTGCCCTCTTATGTCACAAAGGTAAGGCAAGGACATGAATACCCTCTCTCCTCATGCTTGGTAGGCTAGTTAAACACTACTTCATGGCCAGTGGTCTCTTATCCAGAAAGAATGCTGGTCTGGATCACAATATTGGTTTCTGGTTAGCCCTTAGGAAAAAACCATCAGCAAGGAAAGGGGCATAATGATATGTGTCCCATTTCCCATCCCATCAGGCAAATCTTAAAACTCAGTTAAACTGAGGTCTCTGGGGTCTCGTTGACTGAGAGGGGATCAGTTCAGTCAACAGGGGGGCTTAGGATTTTATTTTAGTTCACAGGGCCATAGTCAAAAAAGGTTAGCTTCTCTGATGCCTAAGTCACCTCCATCTTCTTCTTTAGGTTTCCTTGAGCAAGGCTTAGTGGTCAAGGATCCTGAGAGGCTGTGGAAGCATTACACAGAGACCTTGCATTTCAAGCTGGATGTGTTGTCCCTGGTCCCCACGGACCTGGCTTACTTAAAGCTGGGCCTGAACTACCCAGAACTGAGGTTCAACCGCCTACTGAAGTTTTCCCGGCTCTTTGAATTCTTTGACCGCACAGAGACAAGGACCAACTACCCCAATGTGTTTAGGATTGGGAACTTGGTCCTGTACATCCTCATCATCATCCACTGGAATGCCTGCATCTACTTTGCCATTTCCAAGTTTATTGGTTTTGGGACAGACTCCTGGGTCTACCCAAACATCTCCATCCCAGAGTATGGGCGCCTCTCCAGAAAGTACATTTACAGCCTCTACTGGTCCACCTTGACTCTGACGACCATCGGTGAGACCCCACCTCCTGTGAAAGATGAGGAGTATCTCTTTGTGGTCTTAGACTTCTTGGTGGGAGTTCTGATTTTTGCCACCATTGTAGGCAACGTGGGCTCCATGATCTCAAACATGAATGCTTCGCGGACAGAGTTCCAGGCCAAGATCGACTCCATCAAGCAGTACATGCAGTTTCGCAAGGTAACCAAGGACTTGGAGATGCGGGTTATCCGGTGGTTTGACTACCTGTGGGCCAACAGGAAGACAGTGGATGAGAAGGAGGTGCTCAAGAGCCTCCCAGACAAGCTGAAGGCTGAGATCGCCATCAACGTGCACCTGGACACTCTGAAGAAGGTTCGCATCTTCCAGGACTGCGAGGCAGGGCTGCTGGTGGAGCTGGTGCTGAAGTTGCGGCCCACTGTGTTCAGCCCTGGGGATTATATCTGCAAGAAGGGGGACATTGGAAAGGAGATGTACATCATCAAGGAGGGCAAGCTGGCTGTGGTGGCCGATGATGGGATCACTCAGTTCGTGGTCCTCAGTGATGGCAGTTACTTTGGGGAAATCAGCATCCTAAACATCAAAGGGAGCAAGTCAGGGAACCGCAGAACAGCCAACATCAGGAGCATTGGCTACTCGGACCTGTTCTGCCTTTCAAAAGATGACCTGATGGAGACCCTCACTGAATACCCTGAAGCCAAGAAGGCCCTGGAGGAGAAGGGACGGCAGATCCTGATGAAGGACAATCTGATCGATGAGGAGCTGGCCAAGGATGGAGCAGACCCCAAGGACCTTGAGGAGAAGGTAGAGCACCTGGAGTCCTCCCTGGACACCCTGCAAACCAGGTTTGCGCGGCTCCTGGCTGAGTACAATGCCACCCAGATGAAGGTGAAGCAGCGTCTGAGCCAACTAGAGAGCCAGGTGAAGATCTGCGGGAGCAGCCTCCCATCTGAGGGGGAGGCTGCCAAAAGAGAGGACAAACAACAGTGAAAATGCAATATCTGTCTCCTGCTTCACAGGGTCAGCTATCAGCATGATGCTAGGTGGCTACAGCTGAGTGGCATGGCAATTGCCCAGGGTTTAATTCCAGCTTTACTCAGCCTTTGAAAGCTATATGACTGCAGATGAGAGCCTTAGTTTCCTCACCTAGAAAGTGGGACTCCTTATGTCCACCCCACTGAAGTGCCAGATTATGGTGAGGTCCACATGAAGCCCTGCCCGAGGCTGTGTAAAGTATAAAGTATCCCCAACTGAAGGATAGGACAGTGCACACACAGGACTATAGTTATTTTTCATGGACTCCACAAGTTTTTAGGTTTCTTAATCAAATTTTTTTATAGTTGAAAGAGTATTTCACCACCGTTCCTCCACCCCAACCCTACTCCACCACTGTCTGATAATGGATATAGAACAGGAAGCTGAAGGTACAAAATAGTGACTCAGATTCAACCTTGCACAAGCCAGTTAGGGGGCATATTTCTGAATCTGGATCTCCTTGTGTGCTCTTTGGGACCCTAGGAACCCTGGCTGTTGGTAGTTCCATGGCACATAGAAGTTGTGTGGGATGACCCCATTGGAGATCACTTCACGTCCAGGAAGCAAGTCCAGATTTCTTGCTGTCCAGCCATTGTGAAACCAGGACATGTTTCATAAGAAAGAGGAACTCGGTGAGAAGAGACATCCCCTCCTTCTCATTTGCCAAAGAGATTCAAAGAAAGCTCTTACCCTCTGCCCCTCAGTCAGGGCCCTGGGAGGACCTCTTCCAGTTTAAGGAAAGGAGCTGTGTTCAGGAAGTCTTTTAGATTAAAGAATGGGGCTTGGCGCCTATAGTCCAGCTTAGGCCTGCCTGCCAAACAACAGTGACAACTGCAACCAAAAAAAAAAATAGCTGGGCATTGTGGCAGGTGTCTGTAGTCCAGCTACTTGGACTGAGGCAAAGAATCGTTTAAGCCCAAGAGTTTGAGGTTGCTGTAAGCTATGATGTCACAGCACTCTACCCAGGGTGACAGCTTCAGACTCTGTCTCAAAAAAAAAAAAAAATAGATTGAAGAATGGAATGATGTCTTAAGGCAAAAAATAAAAGCTGACAATTAAGATTGTTAGGAGATGAGATCCGTAGGCTATATCTTTGCAAAATGCCCCTTCACCCATGAAAAGGAGACCTCAAGTCCCCTTGGAATTATATCCTGAGGCAAAGCTTTTAGCTAGCCAAAAGCTTGCAGATGGCAGAACTTGTTTTCTTTTTAACTCAGTAACTAGAATTCCATCAACAGTTTATAACAGGCTAGGGCTGGTGACTTCCACTCTGGGAGGCCAAGCCAGGAGGATCCTTTGAGCTCAGGAGTTTGAGACCAGCCAGAGCAAGAGTGAGACACCCCATCTCTACTAAAAATAGAAAAATTAGCCAGCATTGTGGCAAGTGCTCCTGGTCACAGCTCCTTGGGAGGCTGAGATAGGAGGATCGCTTGAGCCTAGGAGTTTGAGGTAGCTGTGATCTAGGCTGATGCCCCAGCACTCTAGCCTGGGCAACAGAGTGTCACCCAATCTCTAAAAACTAGCCAGGCATTGTGGTGGGTGCCTATAGCCTCTACTACTCGGGAGACTGAGGCAAGAGGATCACTTGAGCCCAACAGTTTGAGGTTGTTGCGAGTGGTGACACTACAGCACTCTACCCAAGATGACAAAGTGAGACTCTGTCAAAAAAAAAAAAAAAAAAAAAAAAGGAAGGAGAAAGAAAATAGTTTACAACAGATTTATATTTTCAAGTTCTATAATTTTGAAATCTGACCTCATCCTTCACTCATACACGTTGCAAATTGCCCAGTGATGAGTTTTTCTTTTCTTTTCATTTTCCTTTCCTTTCATCAGACAAAATGCTTCACTTTTCTTTGAAAACGTTGAAGTCTCTGTGGTCTGATGTTATTGCCACACAATTGGGCCCTAATGTAGCTCATATGAAAGGTGCTGAGTTTCCAAGTACGCATTTTGGATTTCTGTGGGTCTCTTCTTGTTTTTAGTGTGGGTTGCTTGACCATTTTAACTTTGTTTTGATGGAATAAAAGGCCTATTAAATGTCATAGATCCAAACGTTATCATCAGCAAAACGTAATAAGCAATGTATTCTCAAAATGTATATGTTTTGAAAGTTGTAACTGTTAGTCATGTCTGCATTCATATTTCCACAGGAAAAATAAAGGCATTGATTAAAAAATATTAATGAATCTTGCTTCAGCTCTTACCGTAAGAGAAGATCCAACCCCAGGGAATGTTTTTAGGGCAATGGCCTCCCTAGAAGGAAGGAATGCTGATGAACAGGGAATGGCACACACTCAACCTGAGGGCATACGTGCAGCCAGAAGCAGGTGAGACAATGCACATGTGTTACCAGAGACATGCCAAATGTTATCGCAGCATTATTTTTAATAGCCAAAATACTCTCTAAATATCAGAATATAAGTACAAATCAGCAAAAATATAAAACATGCTAGGTATTACACCAGAGAGAATTTAATTGAGGGAATTTATTATGTGGCCTGAAGACTAAAAGAAAAGAAATGCTGAGTTTATTCAGAGACAATAACTTCCAGCTATTACCCCTAGGGCTGGAGGAGCAAAGGAAAGAGGTGCCCAAAGAAAAGGCCTCAAAAGCTAGAACTCAGAGTTTTGAGAAGGGGTGCTACTTGCTGTTCCTGGTAATTCAGGAACTCAGGGAAGTTTTGCAAATGTAGGAATCTGGGCAATATCTGAGAAGGGGCATTGCCTGGTGAGACTGCTTCTGGGAGTCCCAAAGAGAGACTGGAACCACCTGCTACTACCAGAATAATTTGCCAGTGTTGTTGCTGCTGCTGCTGTTGTGTGAGCTGCATGACCAGAACAGGAGGCACACTAGAATAAAGAATCCATTCTCTCCTCCCTCTGCCTTCTAATCTTTCTCAGTTGCCCCCTAGTAGAGTGTTCTAGAAAAGCAAAGACAATGAGGACTTTGGACTTGACTGACAGAGTAAAGACATGAGGCCCTACCTTAGATGTAGGGAGTAAAGCCTGGAATAGGTAGTAAAGACCAGGTACCCTAAATAAATGACCCTCTCTCCAGTGACCGATGTCTAAGTCTACCATCAAAGCTTCTTTCCTCTCTCCTGAAGTTTTTTCCTTTAGAGGATGCAGAAATATCTAGGAAAAGACTTGATGGAAAGGCTCAGCGCCTGTGGCTCAAGCAGCTAAGGCGCCAGCCATATACACCAGAGCTGGCAGGTTCATTTCCAGACCAGGCCTGCCAAACAACGACAACTAAAACCAAAAAATAGTCAGGCGTTGTGGCAGGTGCCTGTAGTCCCAGCTACTTGGGAGGCTGAGGAAAGAGAATCGCTTAAGCCCGAGTTGGAGGTTGCTATGAGCTGTGATGCCATGGCACTCTACCCAGGGCAACAGCTTGAGGCTCTGTCTAAAAAAGAAAGGAAAGAAAGAAAGAAAGAAAGAAAGAAAGAAAGAAAGAAAGAAAGAAAGACAGACATGATGGAAAGAAGGGAAATTATCACTTATTAAGTACTCCCTGTGTGCCAGCCATTGCTCTTCATGCAAAAGCGTAAATTTTCTCAGTTAAATGTCATCCCTACTGAAGAAACCTTTTACCTTTCCCTAGGTGTCAATTCTTTTAACATAATTAACACCATTCAATAATTAATTTTTTAAATATATATCTACCCTGTGAAAAGCAAAGAGTTTATGAATTGCTTTCTTAAAAATACATTTTTTTTGAGACAGAATCTCACTATGTCTCCCTCAATAGAGTGATATGGTGTCACAACTCACAGCAACCTCAAACTCTTAGGTTTAAGCAATTCTCTTGCCTCAGCCTCCCAAGTAGCTGGGACCACAGGTGCCCACCACAGTGCCTGGCTATGTATTTTTTCCTGTAGTTGTCATTGCTGTTTTAGCAGGCCTGGGCCAGGTTTGAACCCACCAGCCCAGTGCACGTGGCTGGGGCCCTAGCCACTGAGCTACAGGCACCAAGCCCTATAAATACATTTATTAGAGTGGCTAACACCAAGGAACTGACAATACCAAATGTCAAGGATGCAAAGCAACAAGAACATTGCTGGTGGGTGTGCAAAATGATACAGCCATTGTGGAAGACAATTGGTAGTTTCTATAAAGTTAGACATACATTTTAATATATGATCTAGCAGTCATGCGCCTAGGTATTTAGAGAATTAAAAACTTATACTCACACAAAAACGTGTATGCAAATGTTTATAGAAGTGTTATTCCTTATCACCAAAAACCTGAAAGCAACCATG